GTCGGATGATTTCACCGAACTCGTAACCGCAATAAAAAAATTAGGAAGTCATTATCAATTTCCCCTATTTTCTTTCTGGAATGCCTGCAAATTGTATCAGAAAACCATAATTGTTTATCCTTAGTAGCTTAAAGTTTGTAACAGTATACGTCCACTTATACTTGAATTTTACTGTTTTATTGCCATTTGAACCATTTGTAAGTGCTATTTGTGCCATATAATTTGCAAAACGCGTAGCGAAAGTACAGCTCACATTACGGTACTGAATTACATAATGCAGGTATCCATGAATGGGAACTTTTAGTTACTTTTATAACAATAAATAAAGAATACACATAAAATAACGAGAAATAAATCACCTGATTTTTGGTTTTTTTCTCTTAACTATTGATGAAATTTAATCCAACTTTTTTTGTTATACTATTTCTACTACTGCATTAAATAATTTCTATTTAATTAAATAATGCACCAACAAGCACAGAATAATAACATGCAGAAAGAAACAATGTTCCATAACTATCACAATTTTTCTGGCTCTCTAACTGTGTGACAAAAGCAGTTAAAAATTCAGCTAGGCTCATCAATGTGTTTCCCATTGGAATAAAGTTTGAACTGGAAGGAAAATAGCCATTTCTCTAAAAAGACAAAAATGTAATATAATACATCATTTGATATAGAAAAACTTTGGCTTTCTATTGGTTTTAAATAATATAGTCTTAAATGTCAGAGAGAGCTATTGGCAAGTTCTGAAAGACAGAATGTGACAGGTGGGTGTGGCAAGAGGGGTCTGATTTTCTATATTAGTGCTCTGTAACTAAATAAGGTTGAATGCTATGTAAATTATGCTTTGTGTGAGTGACTAAAACATTATAATAAGTAATTTACATTAAAATTTGTACTTCTTGGAGGGGTGGTGAAAAATTAGAGAAGATTGGAGGCATAGATAACAAATATCACAGTTCTCATACTAGGGGAGATTGAGATTTGTATATGTTTCCGTATAAAATTAAGCACTTGAAATTTAAATAATAATAAACTTAGATTTGTTATCTATGTTCTGATTCAGAGTTTATTCATATATATGTTGATAATAAAGTAGTTTAATTAGATTTTGAATGCAACTCTATGAAAGGTTATGGCATGCACAATTTGATCTACCCGAGGTGAAAGGGTAAATCATCATGTGGCTTTATTTTCATCCAATTTATTATCATTGGTGAAACCTGTTAGAAATTGATTGTGGACAGCTGTTGCAAGCTTTATGCTGTTTAGTTTGTTATGGTACAAAGTTTGAAGCAAAGTACTTGTGCTTGCCTTGCATATGGGGCATTTAGCAGAGTTTCAAATCTTGTACATCCCAACAAATTCTCATGCATACGGGGCACAGGAGCTCAGGTTAACTAGAACCCTATAAATAGTAACTACTTTGACCAAATAATGTGATAGGCATGGTACATGAAGCTTTACATATGACAGTTCTGTTTCACTAATTAGTAATTCACTAAGCAGACTCAATCCTGTCAGGTGTTCTTGAGATAAGGGCTGAAAATGCCACAGACTTCAAGGATACCCAGCACAGTGGTCATAGAGGTGTTTTTCTGGTTTGCTTGTAATTTATATTCAAGATTTTTAGCCACTCTTCTAGTAGAATTTATTAAATGATGAGCACTTACTCACCAAAACACTTAAACTGCAAGAGATCATTTAAAAACATTCTTGCATAATGCCTCAAAAGAGGGTATAGTACAGCCCAGTTGTTTGTGTGCTGGACTGTGGATCTGTTATTCACACCCTGTTACTGTCACAAAAGATTATGCTACAATCTTTGTGACCATGGTTGAATTATTAGAGTGATGCTCAAATTCCACTGTTCAATTTGAGTAGCCCATGAATTGGTTGTGGGTGGTATTGATTAACTGTCTTCTCTCCTATCTATCACTGTAACATTAGGAATAACTTGCACTGATAGACCTCCTCTAGTAGATTTGTAACTTAATAACAGCCTCAAATGAACAGTGCCTTTTTCAGCCATGCTTGGATCCATGGCTTTAAATTGATAGAAAGTGAAGAGGATACAAGACTTCAACATTATTAAAGCAAAGTGCTCATTGAAATGTGCTATATGTATTATTTATTAAAATAGATTTGCTGACTAAAGTAATAAGTTCAATGCAAATTATTGTATAAATAATGTTTGATGCATGTTGAATTTTACTGTGAAGAATCTCAGCAGTGCATTAGTTTAAAGCAATAATTTTCTCACTTGCACCACTATACAGTAGTGTGTTGTCAGTCAGTAGACACTAAAATTATGTTACATAAGGGATGCTTAAAATTCCAATTTGTACTGTCATGATGTCAGTAAAATGTGTGCATGCCATGAATGATGGGAAGAATTATGCACTCTGTAGGCTACAACACAGCATGACATATGAACTTTAAAGCAAGAAATAAAAAGATTTGGGTTTTATTTACTCTTGAAACAGAACACTTCTGAGGACCCTGTGGGATTATATCTAGTACATAGGCCAAGTTATTGTCAGATAACCCCAGAAATTCAGAGAGAGGTGGACATCGTATTCCTACTTACAGATTTCTTATCCCAGCAGTAAGATAGAAGATTCAGACCTGGTAGTTTTACTGAAATTAAGTATCATTTGTACATGTAACTGGCTGGAAGCATTAGCAACAATTTGGCTAATGTTATAATGCAATAGAATGTACAGCTCAAATGATTCACATGATCATAGAATGTACGTTTAATTATTAAAAAAGAAAACAAGAAATTAGCATATATAAAAATGCATAATATAAACATTTCCATTCAAAACTGTATTTTGGTACTGAATTCATTAACATACATTGAGAATTGTTTTTTAATTGGACTAGGACTGTAAAGGTGTAGTAACTCAATAACCCACAAGTACACAAACCCATTTGAATTATGAAATGCTTTGATGATTATACCTGCATAAGGAAAATGTGACAGTTATGGAATCGTGCCCAAAAAAGAAAACAGTTGATTTTGTAACAAAACCATCTATTAAGCACAAAGAAGTGGGGAAATTCAGAACAAAAGAGTGCAAAGGCTTGAGAAAGGTGAAAAGAGTAGTATTCAGTATGAATTAAAAGACACCGAAAGGAAAAATATTCACAACTCATATCTGTGGAATAGATATGATAATTATCACAACTAATATACACATCTACATATAAACATGCATGCATATATACTGACACCATGGAAGCATCTGCAGTAATGAAGATTAAGAACAAAAAGGGGAGAGACCTTACCTACCCTTAAAGGGATGGGTTGCCAGCAGCAGATACTTTTTGATCTGGTTTATTGGGATAATTCTGTAGATGAAAGGATTATCTTCTGGCGATGAGTTTAGATCTCTTAACCTAAAGACAATAGCACAAGTATAAGAAGTGGAAAAAGACAAGCTAGGTCACGGCTAAGACAGTTTTATTTTTCTAACAGGGAGCTTGGCCTATGGAATCAGTTGCCACAGAGTCCAGAAATTTACAAAAAGTTTAAAAGGGGAATCAAAAAGGGTGGGTTCAAATTTTTTTTGTAAAGGATGGTTTTACAGTGAAAGCCTTATTGTGGTCTTATTTGTGATGTTCATGGTTATGGACCGTTATTCTGCAATACAGTTTCCCCTTCAGAATGTTTTTACAACACTGAGGTTAATTACACCACCCTTCTCCTTACATGATTTTCAAAGTCTCTCAACTGGACAATGATTTCCAAGGGCCCACATTTGAGAAATCGATGGGCACAGAAGCCCATAAGTGATATCTCCAACTAGTATAACATGAATTCCCATTTCCGTTTACATCTTGCAGAACTGACTTGGATGTGAGACATGATGCTTTGTCTGGAGGAACTCGTCTCTACAAAGACACTTTTTCTGTGTAATGTAATTATGTCAGCACATTAGCCTGATAGTTTGCAAAATTAATGTTAGCATTTTTCTTGACTATCCAAATTTGTAATTTCCAATTATAATTATAGTCTCAACCTCCATTAGTTCCTTATAAATGTTTTTGCAACTTGCTCTGTATAATTTTTAAATATGATATCACCCACTAGGGTGATGATATACTGCATTCACTTTTGTAAACTTAAGTAGGCTTCATCCATTGTGATGAAATACTTCCATTTGTAACATGCCAGATACTGCTTTTATAGGTCTTAGTTACTGATCTTCCATTTGGTTAAAACATGGCTCTTGTTGCTTTTGTAGACCTAAATATGTGGGAATTACTTTTTTTTTATAACTCCATGGGAGTTTCATTAAATTGTTGTGGTTGTGGTTACATCTGGTACCAATTTTGAAGTACTACATGTAGGTAGAACCCCCAGTTTCCATAGTACAGTGTCTATGGAGTAACTGGTTTATAATTTTTTTTTATTACCCAGTCAAGATGTCTCCAAACTTATTATTTAATATGCTGTAGAAAATGATTAAAGATAAAAAGAAAAAAAAATTAATTTCCCCAAAGATGTACATACTTCCAATAATGAATTATGTATGCATGATATGCACAAGTATAAGTAGAATATACTAAAAAGCATCAAAATAAATATTCAGGTATAACATCATACTTGTATGATGCCGATTTTTCAATTCGACAAGGTATGTAGCTGTAATTTTGGGAAGTTACTCCATTGAAGTTGATGATAAGTTTCTAATATATGTCTGTGTGTATGTGTAATGAAAGCTTTATTGGCACTAGTTTTTAATGAGCCTATAGGAATTTAATTATTATTTTTTTTATGCTTATTTCAAATTTTACATTTCTTTACATCTCATTGAATGTGTTCTTTAATATTTGGTTTCATTATAATTTAAAAATAAGCTTTTTTGGAAAAAAATTATTCATATTTTTATATTTGTACTCACCCATTTTCATAAACACATTTTTGAGATAATTATTTAAAAACATCTTGATTAAACCACAAAGTATTTTAATGTTCCTATATGGTTTAGGATACAGAGTTTCCAGGTGTGGTAGCACGACCTATAGGAGAATTTCGGAGTACCTCAGAGTATCAGTACCAGCTGTTAAAGTGTAATGTGGACTTGCTCAAGATTATTCAGCTTGGACTCACCTTTTTAAATGAACAGGGAGAAACACCACCTGGTTATTCTACTTGGCAAATCAACTTTAAGTTCAATCTGACGTATGTAGTGTTTTCTTTCTATTATATTTGACATTTATCGTAGTTTTAGAAATACATGAATAATATGTTTTAGTAAAAACTAGTAAAATATATTTAGACACAGGTAGATCTGAAATGCAATATTTACATATCTCTGATTTTGAGCCACAGTGGATAAATTAAGAAGAATGTAGAAAAAACATCTGCAGTTAAGTTGTTTTTATAACAATATTACAGACAATTATTCAAAATCAATTAATCACTCCAATAAACTACAAAATAGTCTGTTGAAAATTCAAACTTTAGATTTTCATAATATAGTGTGAACTGAGTTCATTGTAATGTTATAACAACACATTTGTGTTATCAATGCAAGGTACTGTACATTCCTCCAAGTGTTTGTTTGAAAATATTGTTATAAGTCTTACAATATGTTTTAAGATTCATTAACAAAGAAGACAAATTATTTATCATCCAATATGAGTTGTATTCTCCTATAATTACAAAAATACTGTAAAAACACATGGATGAATTAATAAGCCTTTGAGACCAGTAAGACAATAGAAGAGGCCTAATCTGTATATATTGTTGAATTGCATAATTTGTGCTTAAAGTATGTGATATTCAAACATGTATGGTAAGTGTATGTTAATGGGACCTTCATTGTTTTTAAGATTTAGGATACAAATTCATTATGTAAAATAATTAAGATAGAATTATGTCTACCTTTACTTGAAAATTTTATAGTCTTGATAAATATTTATCTAGTAGTGTACAGTTGTAACAACAACAAATTATTCTGTTAGAATTATTGGCTTTAAAATGATATTTGACTGCTTAACACATGATTATCCAAACTTAAACCAATGAAAACATTTTGATATATTTTTCATTACATATACATAGAACATATTTTTTGAGTTAACAAATGCAAATTTGTTCTGTTTGTAGAGAAACTTTAAAAAGAAACAAATTTTTCATGTTCTCAAAACTGTTTTTGTTGTTTTCAAGATTGGGGGTGATTTTTGAAATAACCAGTAAAATCCAATATTATCTTGCATAAACTTTTATTATAAAATGTAAGAAACCACACAGATCATACATAAAACACACGAAACAAACCAATAAATCAATATTACAAAAGAGATTTTCTTTTTATCCTTTTTCATGTATCTAGTAAATCAGTTGTTGTTAAAAGTCAGTAGCATATGACTGAAATTTTCTAAAAGCATGTGTAGAAAGATGTTCTTTTTGTGGTTTTGAATAAAATCTGAGATACCTTCAGTTGTATACCATCCCTGATAAATTTTGAGGCAATCTATGGTTCATGTATTATTTCAACCTGATCGCTGGAAGAAATTATATTTTCCTGCTAAGAAATGTTTAAAAGAAGTTTTCCTATTGGGTATCTTACCTCTTCTCACAGAATAGTTTTTCCTGACTTGTACTGCCCTCTATATGCACACATTTTCACTTTTGATACACTTTTGGGCCAATATTTTGTTCTCTCCCCTTGCCGGGTTTGTAATGAGATGTTTGTGGACCAATTACATTTGAAGACTAGTATACCTCAACCCCCCCCCCCCCCATATATATATGCACACACACACAACATATGGCATCCCATGCTATGACTTTCTATAGGTCTGCATTCCCCATAGTTGGATTCTCTTATACCTCTATGAGGTTTAGAGCCCAATACTTCTGATATGGTCTTACCTCCTTTCACGCAAATCTATCTCGATCTTCTTTTTGCCCTCTAAGCATTGCTAAAAATTTTTGTGCTCAGCAAACCAGTTTATATATCCCATAAATTTCTGCCATTTTGGTACATGTATATATCATGTGACTACTCTCCACTAATGGTATTTCACTATCTATATTGGTACATCTAGTTCCCTTTGTTATTCCTGCTCAATCCTCACTTTCTTGGTTGGTACAGAATTGTTCAGGTGTGTTTTTTGTGCTTCTTTGCCATTTCAAATTTGTTTAAACATTTTTATTTTACTGTTTTTACATTCAGTTGCTTCAACAATTTTTTTTGCATTCTTTCTTGTTACCCAATTATAAATGATCTTAGTATGATTTCACAATTCAAAATACCCTTCGTGTTGCTTTGTCCTTCTTTACACATAGGAGAATTAAGTATTTCAAGTCATCAGTGCTTGGGCATTGGTAAGTTAGATATTTGTGTCCTTCATCACCTAAGTTAATTTAGATGAATTGTAAGTTAGATATTGATTATTACTTTGTTTTTCTAGGTAATTTTAGTCATTCTGCACATTCGTTAATACTATGTACTTTGTAGACTGTAAATTTCAAGGATTCTCTCAGTTCGATATTAATAAGTACTTTAACTAGGAATGTTTAGATAGTTTGTGTGTTACATGTCATTACTACTAGTCACATCTAATTCATTTGTCTGTCTGACTAATTATTTTTTTCTTGCCGTTGTTAAATATGTGCCTTATCATCCTAATTATCATCAATGTTGGGCTTACTGATGTTTCCTTTCACATCTAAATTAACTTAGATAAATTGTAAGCTAGATATTGGTCATTACTTTGTGTTCTCAGTAATGTTAGCTGGTTTGAATGTTTGTTATTATTCCATACTTTTGGAATAGGAAAATTTAGATGGTTTGTCAGTTCGATATTCATAAGTCCTTTGTTCACTAGGTATGTTTAGATTGTTTATATATTACATATCATTACTACTAGTAACATCTGATTTATTGTTCCATTTGGATTTTTTTTTTATTATTATTAAATATGTTCCTTATAATCCTAATTTTTGTCAGTGTAGGACTTAATATTTTTTTCTTTGCTACATTGCTGATGCTTTCATTTCTTTCTCATTCATAGGGCTGAGCTTTGCATTGGCTCCTTTATGTATGTTCTTGATACATGAAACCAAACAGTGCCCACATCATCGATAGTTATGCATTGTTCAAAGTTGAGCATTTAGTTCAGGGCCCTACCATTTGGACTAACTTTGGCTCTTTAATTGTTTTGTTGGGTGGTGCGAACTCTTGTTCAACATCTTCTCATGATGGATCTTTTGCACTCATTATCACGTGGATGAGTGGCTCCTACTCGCTTCTTCCCATTCACAGTCTAGAGACCACACTCTTCTGCTCCTACAAGAAGCAGCACAGGTGGAATTTCTGATGAAATGGGAAAGTCTATTATTACACCCACTCATTCCTTTGGAGTTTTTCTTCATTCCTACCTCAATTGGGCCCAGCTTTCTTCTTTTTGTCTTTGGGACATGGAGCAAACAGTTCACAAGGCCCTCACCTTACATTCTCTTACAGCTCGAAAGGTTCTGTCTCTTTTGGAGTTATGGACTTCCTTGGAAGATTTCATTCCCATAAGTTGGGCTCTTATGTGTTCCCTTTCATGGAACTCCTAGATCAAGGGTTCCGCTTCCTCTGCCTCATCTTGATTTACATCTTTTCATTGACTCATCTTTAGAGAGTTGGAGTGTTTACCTCATCTTCTGAGAGATTTCCAGCTTCTGGTCAATCAAGGAGTCTTCTTTCTGTATCACCATTCTTGAGCTTATGGCAATTAGACGAGCTTTGTCCCATTTCCTTCCTCTCCTGCAGGTGAGGGTGGTTATGCTACACTCTGACAACTCCACTGTGGTCATTTATATCACCAAGCATTGGTGGACCAATTCCTGGTCTCTGTGCTTTAATATTCTGGATCTTCTTCTCTTGGTCCACAGTTACCACACTGCGGTCTTTGCTTGCCATGTTGCTGGTGCCATGAATCTGGTTCTAGGTTGATTATCTTGTCCCAACATGATTCTCTCCCCAGAATAGTCTCTCTATCCATAGGTCTTTCAGTGGGTGTGTTATCAACTGGGAACACCTCATATATGCCTTTCCCACCCACTGATACACCAAATTATCTCATTTTGGTCTTTCATTCCACACCCACTGACTCTGGGGATGAACATGTTCAGTCAAGATTGGAGGGGTCTTCACATCTATGCTTATCCTCCTATACGACTCCTCTCCAGAGTTCTAACCCTAATCCAAACCACTCCTTGTCTAGTTCTATTGGTGGCTCCATATTGGCCAGCACAACCATGGTTCCCACTGCTTGAACCTTTACTTGTACAACCTACCTTATGCCCACTTGTGTCTTGGTCTCTACTTCATCAACCTTGGTTGGACATTGTTCATTCAGACATCACCACTATCCATCTATGCACATGGCTTTTTTCAGGTCCATTAACTCAGCCTAGGGACTGAGATGAGTGCATCTTTCTTTTCCTGATCCAATGTCCATTTACCAAAGGAGGTGGTCTATTTTCTGCCTTTGGTACCTTTGACATGGTTTCTATCCATCCTACCATTCCATTCCTCATCTTTCCCAATTCTTCACCTGGTTTTTGACAAAGACTTGTCAGACACCTTCCATTTCTCCAAGCTTCATATGGTTTTATTTTCCCTTAACATTTCCCTCCTTTTCTGATCATTTTGAGCCATGCATCCCCCATATTCCTTTGATTCGCCTGATGAGGATCTTAATGGGGTCCTTTATGCTCTTTTCCATCCTCTCTTTGAACCTTTGCCCACGTGTTCCATGTGTCATCTCTTCATCAATACCTATTTGCCTTCTCCTCCTTGCTTGTGGACATTATCAATCAGACATTTCTGCCATTCATGTTCCCTGCATCCTCTTATGTCATCCTATATCCCGACTAGCTCTTCTTTCCTAAGACCTATGCTGTCCATAAAGACAGTTTGCTTTTCACACCCATTTCCCACCTGTACTCCTGTTCTGATCTTGATTGGCTTCATTGTTTGATTTACTCCTTAGTGTAAGGTGGTATGTACTGCCTCTTTTTATTCTCTGGAACCCTTACGTTTCCCATGATCTATCCTCTGTAACTGGTTGGACTTGTCAACTCATTAGGCTGGCGTATTCAGACTTATCCATGGAAGGTTGCTGTCTCCACAACATTTCTTCTCATTAACTTCATCATATCACCAAGTCTTTGGCTGCTTGCATTCGCTGTTTGTTGTGGGAGATCGTTTGGGCCAGAATGTAGACTGTTCCCATTACTGTTGTCACTCATTATGTGCACGATCTGGCTGTATCAGGTGGATATAGTCTTCTTCCCAGAGCAATTCTACACATATCCACTCATCTTTGAGTGGGGTGAGTCTTATCAATTCCTTTCATTATATATATATATATATATGTGTGTGTGTGTGTGTGTGTGTGTGTGTGTGTGT